CCCATTGTTTATAGTAAAATCAATAAAATTGATAACTTTGAACCTTTACAAAAATTTTTTTTACTAATATAAATGAAAAAAACTCTCTAATAGGCCCTTAATTGAGCATCTGCAAATACAATCACGAAAGGATTATTCCAACAGCTTGCTTGGTTATCGAGCCTTTACATTTTAAAGTTTAAATAAATCTTTGATTATTTACTATCCCTTAAATGGTCACATTAATAAATTTCGGATTTTTTAATGGAACACAAAATTTAAAAATTGAATGTAGCACAAAAATTTAATTGACGTTTTTAAATGAACTTGATATTAATAATGTTATATTTCTTTTAATGTGTGAAATTTCATCATCACCATCATCGTTTGTTTCATATTCTTCATTAAATATAGTTAAAGACATTTTCCTGATGATATTGCATGAATACTTCTCAATTTCTCCAAAATCATGAATAGTTTTTCAATACTCATTTTTTTTTAATTTGAAAATTTAATTAAAGAATAGTTGATTTATTTCAATAAAATTCGAAAAAAAAATGAAAGAACTTACTTCCCTTATATATTTTTTTTGAAAGCGATAGTACATTTTATCTTTTATTTTTAAACTTCGGGTGAACCTTTGGTGATCTGCAAATTTGTTACATGAAATAATGACCATTTTTTGACTTTTAAAGAAGGTTTTACAAAAACAATATTAATAGCAGCCAAATTTTTATTTATAGATCGTATTATTTTGACCTAAAGATCATTTTCATATTAGGAAGTGATACATTCCGAACTAAATTTGGGTGGTTTATATGTAAAGGGATAATGTTTTGATGATATATATATGTGTAACATTAAAAAATCCGCACATAGTAATTTTCTATATTGACCTGAACTATGTTTGATGATCAACCATTGTGACCAACCCCAATAATATATATATATATATATAAGAGATGAAAATATAAAAACAATTTTATGCAATATCTGCATATTCATATAGTTAAATCTTTTAATAATAATAAAACATTTTTTCAAGAGTAAATAAAATTTTTATTTATAAGTAAATTATTTGCACTAATATTAATTAGTGAATTCCGATCATATTTAATTAACTATGGCTATTATTACTATGTTAATATGATTGCTGAAATTATATATGAACTTTCAAATTATAATTGCATTATGAATTAATTACTTTCATAATAAAATTATTGCCCTAATATTAATTAGAGAATTCCGATCATAGATGTTAGTTATTTAAATGAATTATGTTAAGATAATTGCTGAAATTATGTATGAGTTTTTTAACCTAAAATAAATAAAATAGAATTAGTGAATGAACCTTGTTTCAATGAATTATAAATTTGCATTACAATGAGTTTTTTGCTTCATATAAAATTTGTTGAAACGCGATTAGTAATTTTGGTATTGTCACCGGAATTAGATTTGGATGCTCTTTTGGCCGAATTTAACTAATTCTTAATTTTTATTATTATTATACAGTGCGGATCATCTATACTCAAAAGTTAAAATTTTTGAAATATTATGTGATCCACACATTGGATTTTAAAAAA